GCTAAATATCAAAAATACAAACAACCCAATCCAAAAATGGGGAGAAGACCTAAATAGACATTTCTCCAAAGAAGATATACAGATTGCCAACAAACACATGAAAGAATGCTCAACATCACTAATCATTAGAGAAATGCAAAGCAAAACTGGCCATCAGAATGGCCATCATCAAGAAATCTACAAACAATAAATGCTGGAGAGGGTGTGGAGAAAAGGGAACCCACTTGCACTGTTGGTGGGAATGTAAATTTATACAGCCACTATGGAGAACAGTATGGAGGGTCCTTAAAAAACTAAAAATAGAACTACCATGTGACCCAGCAATCCCACTACTGGGCATATACCCTGAGAAAACCATAATTCAAAAAGAGTCATGAACCACAATGTTCATTGCAACTCTATTTACAATAGCCAGGACAAGGAAGCAATCTAAGTGTCCATTGACAGATGAATGGATAAAGAAGATGTGGCCCATATATACAATGGAATACTACTGAGCCATAAAAAGAAATGAAATTGAGTTATTTGTAGTGAGGTGGATGGACCTAGAGTCTTTCATACAGAGTGAAGTAAGTCAGGAAGAGAGAAACAAATACTGTATGCTAACATATATATATGAAATCTAAAAAAAAAAAAAAAGGTTATTAGGAACCTAGGGACAGGACAGGAATAAAGATGCAGACATAGAGAATGGACTTGAGGACACAGGGAGGGGGAAGGGTAAGCTGGGACGAACTGAGAGAGTGGCATGGACTTATATACACTACCAAATGTAAAATAGGTAGCTAGTGGGAAGCAGCCACATAGCACAGGGACACCAGCTCAGTGCTTTCTGACCACTTGGAGGGGTGGGATAGGGTGGGAGGGAGGGAGACGCAAGAGGGAAGAGATATAGGGATATATGTATATGTATAGCTGATTCACTTTGTTATAAAGCAGAAACTAACACACCATTGTAAAGCTATTTTATTCCAATAAAGATGTTAACAAAATGCAAAGAAAAAAAGATAACAAATGTTAGTGATAATGTGAAGAAATTATAACTCTGATATACTGCTGAGAGATGTAAAATGCTGCAGCTGCTCTGGAAAATGGTCTGGCAGTTCTTCAAAAGAGTAAATGTTGAGTTACCATACAACTTAACAATTCCACTCCTCGGAATACCGCCAAGAGAAATGAAAACGTACGTCCACATAAAAACTTGTAAACAAGTGCTAATGTCAGCATTATTTATAGTATCCAAAAAGTGGAAATCATCCAAATGTCTATCAATTGATGAACGGATAAATAAAATGTGGTATATTCATAGACTGGAGTATTATTTATTCAAAAAAGAGAATAAAGTACTGATACATACATTGATAAACCCTGAAAACATTATGATACTGAAAGAAGCAAGTCACAAATTATACCACATATTGTGTGATATCACGTGTTGTATGATTCTTATGAAATGTCTGCAATAGGTAAATGCATAAGCACAGAAAGTAGATTAGTGGTTACCAGGAGCTGGAAGGGTTCAAGGGAAAGGAAAAGTGACTGGTAATAGGTATGGGGTTTCCTTCGGGGGTGATGAAAATGTTCTAAAGTTGTGGTAATAGTTGCACAGCTCTGTGAATATACTGTTGTAAACAGATGAATTGTACAGTATATAAATTATACCTCAATAGATACACACACACACACGATAAAGAGTATCTTTGGAAACCCTGGCTGCAGAAGAATTTAGCAGACCTGTCGGGGCAAGGCTCTCTCAGACTGACGAACAGCCAATGCCCACATCATCCGCTGGCTTCAGGCCATCAGGAAGCCATCAGAGGAAAGGGGTCAGTGAGATGTCTGTTGCTTACTATTTGCCACTCATACCAATCAGACTGGGAGAAGGAATCCCAGCGTCTCCCTTCCTGTGCCGCTCTCTGACAACAGCTGTGTAGTCCGCCAACTAACGCAGGCTGAGAGTGGAGCCCATCCAAGAGAAAACTCCAACGCTTGCCTAGACAGCGTGTTAGCTCAGAAACTGTTCTTTTACCTCAGTGGCTTAAGAATTTTGATTCATTTGGTAATAGTTTATCTTTGATGATATATGAATGCATGACTCATTTTGTGGCTTTTAGCACCTCGATGTTGGGAACTTACTAAAGTCTATTTCACTTATTCCAGAGAGAGCCCTGGACTTATGTCCAACCTTCCTCCTTGCTCCTGGCTCCCATAATAGGGAGTTTCTCTTATGGTGGCCTCTCAGGAGAGGCGCTCAGGACAAATGATGTCATTCCACTGTTACAGCTCTAGATCTTTGAGGGCTTTTTTCTTTTGTATCTTCTATTAAAGTATAAATATTAATTATCGGATAATAGGTTTAGCTAGGATTTTCAAAAATGGGACATAGGTTGAAAAAGATAATACAATTTTTCTTCAGGCTTGACCTTGCTAAGATCAGAGCGAGGGCGATGGATTTTTCTAGCAGGAACGCACCAAGTAGTTGACCGCCACTATGTTGGGTCTGGTGCCATGGGTCCAGAACTTCATGCAACCAAACTGTGGGCAAAAATAATTTACACTGACATTATGACTCAAATTCTGCAGGCTTGTTGCCTTCACTCATAGAACTGTTAAGAACTTGGTCCCTTGAAAAGTCCACCAAAGTATTTCTGGGTTTCCCCATGGAAGCCTCACATGTGTTCAAGCAGGCCCTTTACATGCTGCTGTTCTCCCTGGGCCTCTGCTCATGATCTCCCACCTCATCTGGGCAACTGCTGTATCCATGAGCTCTCACTCTATATACCATTTACAACCTACCGAAGAAAGCTGTCTAGCCCTGGGGGCTGTTTCCCATTGCTTAAAGCACCAACAGAACCCTGCATTTCTTTTATCCCTTAAAATGGCCCACTTAACAGTGTTTATCCAACCCTTGCTAGGGTGTTCAAAAACCATTCCCAAAACACTATGAGGTACCAGGTTATACCTCTCCCACTGACCTCTCAAGTATCTGTGCTCAAAGTTTCTTGCAGGTACCTTCAGGCAAAGTAAGCCAAAACCCAATTCAGACCCAACAATTCCAAGTCATGGTCAGAAATCCCTACAAAATTCTCTATATTCTTTAGGCTAAGCCAGAGTCAACTTATCTTATACTCAAGTTTGATAGGTGTTGATCAAATCTAGGAACTTGAGTATAAAAAGCCACATTTGCAATTTATTAATTTATAAGGAAAAAGTGTTACCAAGTTAGCGTTATCTCTCTATAGATCTCTTAATAGAAAAATGTAATTGGTTGGGCAAGCTTTTAGAAGAATTATTGGTAAAAGGCCTAAGCGCAAAGAATTATATAATATGAATGGCCACCATCAATAACTTATAGCAGTTTTTGTTCATGAAATTTAAATTAGATTTGTCATGTTTCCATCAGCCATGTGTTTACAAACCAGGAGTGTATATCTTATCCTTTAAATTTGGTTGACTTCTACTAATCTCAGTTGCAAAGAAATACTCAAATTCTACTGTACCTTAGCTTTCCACCCCTTTTAAATCATAACCCTCCGTAGGTTGAGGACTTGGAATAGACAACAGTTTAGAATTTACCAATTAAGGCTTTGATAATCCCTTGTTAATGAGGATCAGTCTGACTGTAGATTGCTGTGTAACAAGACTTTATAGGAGTTACCACTTTTATCTATATTCATGTAACAGGATGTCAAATTGGGACTCTTGGTTTCCCAGCTTTTTATGTGATACAAAGGCCAAGAATGATAAAAGAAGTGCCAGGTACTTGACTATCTATGCAGAGCAAGCTAAGAGATTCTAAAAACAGTCCTGCCAACATTTGCCTATCAACTACCTCTTACCTACACGAGAAGTTGAAGCAGTAGGTAGAGAAGAATGTCACGGGAAGATTTCCGGAATGCTGTGATGTCCATCCCCTCCTGTGGGGAAGGGAAGGAGAGTTCTTCCCCTATCTCAAGTCAACTGAAGAGAAACTTGAAGAGAACCACGTGTAGAACTTGACATGTATCCCTTGGAGTTTGAGAACATAGGAACTGCATCCAACCCCTACTTGGGAAAATCTAAATGGGAGAGCTGGGGGCCATGGCTAGCCTTGCATAGTAGCAGGAGAAGTGGATGCCATGGGAAGAGCCTGTCCTCCTAGTTTGATATGTGTCAGATGTGGACTCTTGAGAAGAGGAGACAAATGGGGTCACAGAGAGAGAGTGAGGCCAAGAAGTTTTCCTGGGTAGTGAAGACACCCCAACAGAGGAGGGACTGGTCAAAAACCAGGAATGGAGAGCAGCTTACAAATAACCACTGCAGGAGGCATTGCTTGAATCAAGGGAACTGTGGTTAGAGTGATGAGGTGGGGTCTTTATAAAATACACACACACACCAATGACAAAGACAGACTTGGACATCTACCAAAACAGGAGTTACCAGAAAATCTAAGAAACCTGTCCAAGGTTTCATCCAGGGTGGGGAGAACAAGTTGAGAGAGTAGTTGGAATAGGCAATAATGAGAAATAATAATGGTCATTATTATTTAGTCACTCAACACCGTGGTCACTACGTTTAAAAAGCTTTACATATATTAATCCATAAAATTGGTTTCGACTTGCTCTCTATCAGTGTTCAATATACCAGTTACACTTATCTTTCCTATCATTTCCACATCTAACAAATATATATTAAGTACCTATAACGTGCAACTCAATGCTGAAAATACAGCAGTGAAGGAGACAGATATTTTAATGAGAGGGACGATATCCAAGCAGACAAATAAGATAAGAACAAATTGTGGTAAGTGTTGTAATGCATTTAACATGGTGCTGCAATAGAGTAATTGGAGAAAGTCAATCGAGGCCGCTGTCCAGAGAAACTTGTGAACACCTATGTGTGATTCAGCTTGAATTACCTCACTGAGTTAGCCTCAGAGTTCCATCAACTATCAATCACAGAGCTCATTCGGGCCAAAAGATTCTGTCATCATACATGTTGACATACCTGAAAGTCCATTTTCCAACCTATCATTGGCCAACCATTGCAGAGGGGACCATTCTTTCAAGTTCAGTCTTTGTTTCTTCACTGGGATTGAATTCAGCTGTGAACTTCAACTTTATGCTCTTTTTATCAATCAGAATACCCAGAGAACCACCAGCATTCAATTGTTTTCTGTAATGAGAGACAAGGCTGGGCATAGGAGTCTATCATTCTCAAAGATCCCCCAAATCTTTTGAGAATATGAATCTCAGAATCTTGCTAAGAAGCAAAAGAGACTTAGTTAAGTTTACCTTCTCCCCTGTTCTCCTAGGGGTCTTTGTTTCAAAAATCTACTGGAGGAACTTCAAGGCTAAGAACTGTTGTGAGGACTTGGAAACCTGTTATTATTGCCCCTGTATCCTCTAAGGCCCATGTGGCCAGTGTCCCTCTGCATGTTCATTTCCTCTTTTATTTTTCTACACTGGCCAGCTTCCTTTACCTACTCATACCTTCTTCTCACTGATATTTTGGCCCACTGTCCACTGTGGTCCTGACTATCCCAAAGAATTTCTCATGTCCTTGAAGCTTCGGTTCCCACTTCTAGTTACTACATCACCGTGGTTCAAAGACATTACTGATTATATAATGTACCATCATTTTAATATGACCTAGTAGGAGAAGGAAATATAATTACAATAAATACACACAGAGACTGTATGACATCCTGATTCCAGGTATGTAAAATACCACAAAGGAGGTGTTCACCTTAGAATAAAAGAAGTAGAGTGATTTGTAATTTGGACACAGAGGATTAGGGCTGTTCATCTTCTATATCAACCAGATGATAAAATGCTGGACAGCCTTGGGCTGCTGGCTTTGGTGTTCCCCTCTGATCCAGTCAAGATACAGCTTACCTCTGGCTATATCTTGAGGCTGAAAAGCACTAAACACAGTGGCCTGGGCTGCTGTTCCCAGATGAGCTGTGGCATGGCAGCTCCACTGAAAGATTCTGGAAGTAGGTAAGAATTGACTTACCAAGTGTCATTAAGAAAGAAGAATGGTCAACCCCTTGTCGTGTACTTTAGTATTTTTTCTAACTTAAAAATATGAGGCTGATTCCAAACTATAAAATTACAGTCAGAAATTACATGGGAAATCATGCCCACATTTGGTCAGTTCTTGTCCTTTAGGTCATTTGTTTAGCTTACTGTCTTTGAAGCCTAAACTAGTATGGAAAAACAAACAAACAAACAAAAAACGCCTGAATAATCCATACCAGGTGGATGAAAATTTCTGGGGCACATTTAACTCTCCTTGAGTTGTGAAGTCAAGTGACACTGAAGTTATTTTCAAGCATTGACTCAGAAGACCTGAATGTGTCAAAATGGGAAGGATTCAAGAAGGTCTTTCCCCTGCTGCCATTCAATGAGCAATTCCCATTTCCCTTTAGGAAAAGCTTTCCTCCGACTGCCAAGAACCTGCTGGCAGATGAAGTTTAAATTTAACAGATGGTCGTCTATAATTAAATGCTTGTCCATGGCTGGGCCCACTGCATTACAAATGCTGTGGGAGGATGTGCTAGTAGTTACCAAGTGTGGATCACTTCCAGGATGAGGGTCAAGGAAGAGAAAGTGTTATGTGGCCTTTCACATGAGATCATTAGAGAGACGGATAGAATTCAACCTACTGATTGCTGACAAAACCCAAGGAGAGGACTACTGAATTACTCAAACACTTAGTGGACTGAGAAGTGGGGGGATCCTTCGCCTGGGTAAGCAGGAAAGGTAAACACCCAAGGTGTGTGTTTGGGTTCATACACAGAACACACAATTTGAAGTGGAATAATACTGGTGTCCACATATATATACTGCATTGATATAACTACATTTTTAAAGTAAATTTAGAATTATCAGGGACTTGGGTTTCTTTCCATTTATGTACAACCAAATAGCTCATAGGTACAACTAAACATTTCCTTTTTCAGCTGAAAATTCAGAAACATTTAGAGACAGCTTTAAAATTTTTGATTCTAGATAAATATCTTTTGTTTTTCACGTTAGCTGAGCTGCTATGAAGAACAGGGGTCCCCTCAGGTCCCAGTTATGAGAAGATATGAGTAGAATCCACAGCTTGTGTCTTAGCTCCAGCCCTCTGATAAATTATAGCATAATGGCTATTAATTATATAGAATCCATAAATTAGGGTGCAAGTCTGTGTATATAATATATAAATATTGAATGCAAAAGTTACTTTTGTAGTTAGGGGGCCCAAAGTTGACTATAGAGACAATTAAATATGTTTCCATATGTCTAACATGAGAAATCAGTGCTAAGGTCAGTTGCCAGATCTGTCCACAGTGATATGGCCCACCTTGAGGGTCCCAGCTAACAGTCTACCTTCAGCTAGGCCAAGTGAGAAAAGGTCCTGTCCCCTTGGAGTGCCAGCAGGGGCGCTGTGAGCCAGCCCTGGTGAGCTAGTGTTCACGTGGCTAACCCCCTGCTGGAGGCAGACCATCTCCTGCCTGTTCACTGGCCTGTAGATGGCAGCCTGTTTGACCTGGAACGGCCTTCTGCCTGGGCATCATGCCTCGCTGCCTAGCCTCATAGCATCACGTGGGTTAAACTGAGTTGCTGTTAAAAATGCTTGCATCTAAGCAAACACAGAAGTGACTCTGAACTACATGTTTCTATTAATAATGTTTGTTCTAACCCCCCTCCTCAGCAGAGGGGACAAAGCGTCTGGAGACAAAAACTCAGTGAGGTTTGGGAGGGAATGGCAACACAGGGGGCAACAGCCCTGGCTACTGGGCAGGCTGGCCCCTAAAAGCTTCTTGGAAAATGTGCTTGACAAATGAAAACCAAAGTGGGGAGACTCTCCAAGCTAACTGCTACTTATTGCTCTCCTGCTCACCTTTCTTTCTTGTTTACACCAAATCAAAGGTCAAACTGAAGTTATGAAACAGCAGTTTATTTTTTTTTAAATCTTCTTTGGGAAAAAGAATGAGATAACTCAGCTGGTTAGAAAAGACTAAAAACACTCACTCCCACTATTCCTGGCACCCATACCAATGTGTTAATAGAGGTGGCTTTCCAGTGAGGTCTACAGACAAACAGGGTCTGTATCCCTGAGCTGGTGGGTGCTTTTCAGTCCAGGATTCCGGAAGGGCCCAAAGGAGGAGATGAGACGTAAGCAGACGGTGATGAAAATGCTGTTGGAGGAGCCAGGTCCTGGAAATGTCCCAGGGACAGAAGGACCCTAATATAGCCTGAAGTCCAGGGACTCTGAAAGCAAAGCAAACTCACCAGAGCACTGTGTCCTCTGAGGACTTCAACTGGAAAAGTAAACCGAACTTTGGCAGGTCAAACACGTTTGGGACAGGATATTTATACACGGCTATTTCTGTAACTGGAATTGATCAGACATGGGTATTCTGGGTTAGCTCAGTTACTGTCCCCTCAGGCACACACAGCCATCACACATATTTATGTGTTCGTGTGTGTGTGTGTGTGTGTGTGTGTTGGGAGTGTGTGGTAGTATATGGACAGAGAAGCCATTCTGATTTTTCTTCCTAGCATTTCATCATGTCTCCTTCAGGGTCCACTTATTAATTCCTAAACCATTAAGATTGGTGTTTGAATGGTTCCATAAGAATTCTCTCTGGCAACAAGTTAAAATAAACATTTTCAGGTCCCACCTGAAGGTTCAGAGTTAGGGCTAGGGTATACCCTGGGAATCTGTATTTTTAAGATCTCCCCAGGTGATACCAATGTCAGGTTCAGAAAGCACTGATTTTACAACAAACAGTCTGCGAAGTGAAAAGTATATAAAGAGGGTTTCCCTGGTGGCGCAGTGGTTGAGAGTCCACCTGCCGATGCAGGGGACACGGGTTTGTGCCCCGGTCCGGGAAGATCCCACATGCCGCAGAGCGGCTGGGCCCGTGAGCCACGGCTGCTGAGCCTGCGCGTCCGGAGCCCTGTGCTCCGCAACGGGAGAGGCCACAACAGTGAGAGGCCCGCGTACCAAAAAAAAAAAAAATGGGGAGAAAAGTATATAAAGAGAAGTAAATTGGAAATATTTATTTTGTGGTTTCCTCTGAATAGAGACAAGAATTCTAAATAGCTACATTTAGTGAAAAGAATGGTATCACATAAATAGCAGGGTCAGATTTCAAAATTCAAAGGATCAAAAGTCTCTTCTTTTAGACTTTTCTCTTGATTCTGATATTCTTCTCCAGGCAATTATGTTTCTAAAGCAGCTTAGATATTTCTTTTAAGCTATTATAAAGAGCCTTGGTGGACTATATACTATAAATGATAAAGGTTTTACACAAGCAGAGATCCACCTGGTATTCATTCCACCAACTGGTATTTTGTTTGTTTTTTACTAAACATCTACATGTCATTTTACAGTACAAACTTTCTATTTATCTTTGCCCCTAGGGGCCTTTCCAAGCAGATTAGATGTTTTTGCATATTAAAAAGAGCCTTCTAAGGAGTCATACTATAACTGTTTTCAAGACAAAATTGTTTTCAAGACAAAACAAAACATTAAAAAGAATCCATCACACTCAATCCATAGACATATATGTATATAATATCTAATAGCTTACTAGTCTTATTGGAGAAAAATTACAGAACCACACATTATAATGGAAATCCCCAGATAATCATGAAAACAAAGGAAATGAAAACCTATCCAGTAAGACTCCCTAACTGGACCTATGAAAATGGATGCACGGGAGAGTAGATGCAGGCAACTAGTGCGTCCAGGGCAATATAACAGCCTGCAGTTACACACAAGTGGGTGAGAATTTTTAAAAGTAAATTGTGATCTTCCTGAGAGATTTTCTTTTGGTGAAATAATTCATAATTGAGTAATCTAACTGCTTAGTCTCTCCATTGCTTCATACTAGATACTGTTCCGGTACATTATTTTTTCTCTCCACTCTATCCTTCTCCAATTGTATCTCTTCATTGAAGGGGTGTGTGTGTGTGTGTGTGTGTGTGTGCGCGTGTGTGTGTGTGTGTGTGTGTGTGGTGAAGTATAAGGAAAGAAAACACTTTAAAGCCACTGACCAGACCTTATGACAAAAACAGTTCATGAGCCAAATACCAGAAACAAGATAAGATGATGTCTTTGCTCACTATGCTGACCACACAGGAAAAAAAACAAAAAGATTACCAGATTGTTAA